TCATTGAGGCCGGCTAGATCAGGCATGATCACAGCCATAACAAGTACAAGTAAGTAAGTAGGCGCCAGAGTGTCAGCAGTGAATACACCGTCGTCTCCCAGTGCCTTACAGTTGCGCAGCCTTTTTATGGCATCGGCGATTTCTCCTTCAGAAGGCGGAGGAAGCCCTGCTGTAGATTGGAGCAGCGGGGCGTTGAACTCCGCACCAAAGTTTAGGAGGTGCTCAAAGTGCTCACACTCAGCTTTGGTCGCGTTGTCAGCAATAAAACCGCCATTCACATTACGATCTGAGTCATTCAGTGAAGACAGCTAATCACTAGCCTGGCGAATAAGTTGGTAGAGCTTTCGAGTATCATCGACGTTCGAGGCCTGCTCCATGGAGGTTACTATTTCAGCCAAGTATTTATGTCAGTTCTCTCTAACCGATTTTGCTGTCATCTCTCTTATTTGGCGGAAAGAATCATCACTACGGCCCCTAGCTCGGACTGTCTCAGCAGAAAACTGCAGGGTTCGTCCGCTGACCCAATCATTGTGGCGCCGCTGGGTGTATCCAAGTATTTTCTCGGCTGCCCCATAGACTGACGTTTTCAGTGAGGACTATGGGCTACTCTCTTCTCTGTTGGCTCGGGTCGTTAAACAGGAACGGATTTGTCTGCTCAGGGCCTAAGCGGTGTTGGTTTGCCGAATTTTGGCAACATCAAGGCGTCTAACGCGTGACATTTTGGGCGCAGATGAGAGGTGAGCTTTCAGGCGTGGGGGAGCAAGAACGTGGTCAGATCCATGGGCATTGCCAGTCTCGGCACCACGCAACGACCTACTATCATGAACCCATCTGCGGAATCTTGAGTTGACTAAAATGTAGTCAATTTCACTGGCCGTATGGCCGTCGTTGGAGTACCAGGTTAGCAAACGTTTGTTGCGGTGCTAAAAGCACGTGTTTGTAATAAACAGTCGGTTCCGTTCAGCATAGTTCAGCAATCTTGCACCATTCCCACATCGACAACCAGGCCCAAAGCCGTCGATAAGATGGCTGTTTGTGGTCACCAGGCCCGGTCCGACCATTCCATTCCCCGGCAAATAAGAGCAAATCGCGGCGAGGAAGCGTTTCAGCCAAAGTTTGTAATTGCGAGTAAAACATCTCCGTATCGCGCTGGTCAGCAGAGGAGGTTGGTGCATATATTACCACGACAGATATGTTTGTGAAGTGACCCTTCAATCGCACATAAACCATGCGTTCAGTGACTGGTCTCCAGGCAAGTAGTGCACGGCTCGCCTTTTGCGAGAGGGCAATTGCCACACCATGTTTGCCGGAGGAGTCGTGTGGGCCACTGTGGTATAAGGCGAAATGAGAGTTAACTCCAGAAATAATTATCCCCTGAGTCAGGAAGTCGGACAGGCAGCAGACATCTACGTTGTACTGATAGAGGTTGTGCACCGTCAGGCTTTGGGTACCAGGGGCCCGGGACGTTCGCACATTGCAGCTCCCAATACCAAGAGTCTGATTTCGATTGAGTTGTGCAGTCCGCATACTATTCGCCCACGCCCCTGGAAATGGGTGACGGAGCGCGTCGGTTCCCGCGGACGCCGCAGCATGGATCATAGCGTAGTTACCGGACATTGTCTTTTCATGAGGTTTCTTTGAAATTATGAGTACAGGCGGGTACCCAGCAGCAGCCGCGATAAGGGTTAAGTTTGTCGAAATGAGCCGAGAATCGGACGAGAGTAGGGTCTACGGCGTCGCGGATGAGTAGGATTGTTGGGGATAAGGTGTCGATCACGGTAAAAAGTCCTTGGCAGAAAGTAATGGAATTTGTTGGAGGTTGCACGCGAGTAGGAGGGGTTTTGGAGTACCACAAGACCACCACATTAGTAGGCGACGGTAGAAGGGTTCTTTTTGGTGGGTCGTGGACGTTCTGATGGCACAGGGGGCGGTGTTGTGAGCGCAGCGGATGGTCTCGAGTAACTGCTGGGCGTAGTAAGGTCGGAGGAAGATAGAGGGTATCGGAGGCCCACGGGGAACCGGATCTCGCGACCGGTCCAAGGATAATGGGTGTAAACCCCGTAGAGGAATGAACCGACCTCCGACAAGCCAAGAGACGCAGTGGTAACTGGACGTCCAAGTCGTATCCATGTCAATTTCCCAGAGGAAGCGAGAAGATTATGTAGCGTGCGTTTGGTACGTTCCACGAGCCTAGTTCCCTCCGAATGGTAGGGAGTAGTACGAGTTTTGCGGATTTCGAGAAGGTCGCAAACGCCCTTAAGTTGCTGCGAGTCGAAATTGCTACCGCAATCATAATGGAAGGAAACAGGGACACTCCAACGACCAAACCAAGTCCAGTTGACGATGTTAGCCACCGATGAGGCGTCTTGGCGTAGCAGAGGAACGGCTCCCACCCACTTGGTATAGTAGTCAATCATGACCAGAATATATTCATCTCCTTGGAGTGAGATAGGAAGAGGGCCGACAATGTCAAGCCCAAAGCGTTCGCCGGGGAAACCATTGGTCATCAGCTGCAGAAGGGCACGAAGTGCGGGGATTAGGTGATTTGAGAGAAGTACAAAGTTGACAACTCTGGCGAAAATGAATGACGGACAAGCGTAACTAATACCACCAGCAACAGGATCGTGCGGGTATCCATTTTCAATAAGTGTGTGCTGCAGCTGTTGGAGTTCTGCTTCGATAATTTCAGGCGAGCAGATCTGTCGTACGCTAGCTGCTAATCCCTGACTAAGATTTCGTTTTATATTTAGGGGGAAAAACTGTGAAAGTTGGTGTATTGTCCAGTCCAGGCTTTGTTTCGGAATACCCTACGCAGGATAGATCCATTATCTTGCCTTCGCAGAAGGGCGCCAAGGAACGCAATTTCATCGTCTACCTCAGTCTCTACAGAAAATTACAGAGATGGATGCGCGCTGTTAAACATCGCGACCAGGGCGTCAGTGTCAGCGTTATAGTCGGTCAAACAGAAGATATCATCCACATATCGACCGTAAAACGCAGGGTCATCGATTTTGTCCCTTAGACTCGTTCTCTCGATCTTGCCCATATAGACG